ATCCACTCACTTCGGCCTCCCAAAGGCGTGGGATTACAGGCTGAGCCACCAAGCCCGGCTCTTTTTTGTTGTTGTTGTTGTTGTTGTTGTTGTTTTTTTGAGTCGCCCAGGCTGGCGTGCAGTGGCAAGTTCATGGCCACCGCAGCCTCCACTGCTGGGCTCAGGCGATCCTTCCACCTCAGTCTTCCAAGTAGCTGGGACTACAGGCATGCACCACCACACCTGGCTAAGTTTTTGATTTATTGTAGAGACATGGGCTCAGGTAATCCTCTTACCTCAGCCTCCCAAAGTGCTGGGATTATAGGCATGAGCCACTGCGCCCGGCCAGACAAATTATTATTATTATTATTATTATTATTATTATTTTGAGTTGGAGTCTCACTCTGTTGCCCAGGCTGGAGTGCAGTGTCATGCTCATGGCCACCCCAGTGTCGACCTGCAGGGCTCAGGCGATCCTTCTGCCTCAGCCTTCCGAGTAGCCGAAACTACAGGCATGTGCTACCACATCCATCTAATTTTTGATTTCTTGTAGAGATGAGGTCTCACCAAGTTGCCCAGGCTGGTCTTGAACATATGGCCTCAGGCAGTCCTCTCACCTTGGTCTCCTAAAGTGCTGGGATTATAGGCTGAGCCACGCATCTGACCTCAGGTCAAATTTAAGCAAACTTTCTTTTTTTTTTTTTCTGAGTTGGAGTCTCACTCTGTCGCCCAGACTGGAGTGCAGTGGCCGCTCCAGGCCACTGCAGCCTCGACCTGCTGGGCTCCAGCGATCCTTCTGCCTCAGCCTTCCAAGTAGCCGGAATTACAGGCATGCGCTACCACGCCCGGCTGATTTTTTGATTTATTGTAGAGATGAGGTCTCGCTGCCCAGTCGGGTCTCGAACCCGCAGTCTCAGGGTTCCCACTCACCTCAGCCTCCCAAAGGCACAGGATTACAGGCTGAGCCACCAAACCCGGCTAAGCAACCTTTCAACAGTAGGCAAAGAGGGAGGCGATTTGTTGGTGTTTAATCTTCCCTTTGACCTAATTTCCATAGTGAAATATTTTGCACTTGTGTTCTTACGCTAGATTTTCCTGTTACACAGCCTGGACTAGAATCAGAGATTTCTCTGCCCTTTAATCCTTGCCCTGTTTACCATCAATAACAATTGTAAACTGGTGCCTCATTATAAAGGCATTGGCTATCTTTCCCACTTGTGAGAAGTGGTAATTATGTCTTTGGACTTGTGTTAATTTCATATACTTGGAATAGCTTTGTCTTTTCCTTTAGGTAAGTTTTATAGGTGATGAGTCAATAGAAAACATGGATGAGCCCTCTTAATGGTTTACAGTTTGCTATTAGGATTTATGGCTCAGCCAATAATCCCAGCACTTTGGGAGGCCGAGGTGAGAGGATTGCCTGAGCCCAGCAGGTCGAGGCTGCAGTGGCTGTGAGCATGCTACTGCACTCCAGCCTGGGCAACAAGAATGAGACTCCAACTCAAAAAAAAAAAAAAAAAAAAAAGAATTTATCCAGAATGTGTTTTTAATTGGCCTGTGTTTAAGAATGGAAATGTTAGAAATATGGATTGAATTAATAATGACATTTATTTTTAAAATTTAGATTACCTTATGAAGATTCAGTGCTTGCCAGTACAGTTTCTGGTAATCTGTGGATAGATATTGATAGTTATGATTTTCTAAAAGGAGAAAAATTCCTATAGTTTTAAAATAATTATTTTTCTCACAGTTTTACCTTTCTTGTTGGGTTACACAAAGATAACACAAAAATGGATTACTTAGACATACTAGCTTTGTATTTGTTATCTGTATCTGTGTGGAATTCTCTACTATGCTGCTTTCTGAGGTCCCTGGTTACTATTTAGTAGGGTTAGGCTAAGAGTTAAGAGTATATGTCCAACTAGGCTCGGTGGCTCAGCCTGTAATTCCAGCGCTTTGGGAGGCTGAGGTGAGTGGATTGCCTGATCCCATGGGTTTGAGACCCGCCTGGGAAACTTGGCGAGACCTCATCTCTACAATAAATCAAAAATTAGCCGAGTGTGGTAGCGTGCACCCGTAGTTCCAGCTACTTGGAAGGCTGAGGCGGAAGGATCACCGGAGCCCAGCAGGTCGAGGTTGCAGTGGCCGGGAGCGGC